TGTAGTGAACTTAATCTGAGGTCAAAACTCTTGACCTTAAGAACCTTGTGGGACAGGAACTGTCATTTCATTGATTTGAATCCAGAAATACAGGTTCACCCATCCTGAGACTTTCTTTCTTGAAAATTCAAGTGGAAGAACACTCTCTGTTCTATTATCATTACTATTTTACAAATGTTGATAATCAAAGTGCCTTAGTTCAAACCATTTTAGATGTTGCAGTGAACTAATCAATTTTATTAACTGTGTAATGATTTTTAATTCTCATGCAAAGTTAGAACTCATGTTGAGGTCTGTTACAGATTTTTATGCATTTTCTGATTTCTGCCTTTGAATGAGCAAGTGTGCGTTTCCAGGGTCAGGAGTTGAAGCAGACATATGTTGGAACAACTGTCCTGTTTACATCCTCTCAGACGTCAACAGGGGGGTTTTGGCACCTGTTTCTTAAACTCGCCAAAACAAAACTCTCTCTGTCTGTGAGAACATTTCTGATCTGTTCCATAACAATTCTTGCTGCCTTCTAACCTTTTACGTCACAAAACACACCCCGTCTGGTCGGTTCTGGCCAATGGGGAGACTCCCGAATGAACCGGGAAAAGGGCTCTTTAAAATGTCGGTACTTCCTGGTCTACTCAGTTCTGTTGGATACTCAGTTCTGTTGGATACTCAGTTCTGTTGGGATACACAGTTCTGTTGGATACTCAGTTCTGTTGGATACTGAGTTCTGTTGGATACTCAGTTCTGTTGGATACTCAGTTCTGTTGGATACTCAGTTCTGTTGGATACACAGTTCTGTTGGATACTGAGTTCTGTTGGATACTCAGTTCTGTTGGATACTGGGTTCTGTTGGATACACAGTTCTGTCAGTTCTGTGAGAGCTGTGAGAGTTCGGTTCTGTGGGAGTTGGGTCTCTGTTCAGTTCTGTGAGCCGGGAAGATCCTGACATGACAACAGAGCTCTTCCGAGTTTCATGGGATTATAACATCTTCACTGAGGTGAGCTGTGGGAAAACAGAATCTCGCCGCTACTCCGGACGAGTAACAGCATCCTACGGAGACGCTGAAGGGTGCGTTAAACGGAATCTCGCCTGAGACATCTCCAGGTAAAAGAGTCGATTTCACCACCTAAGTGTACTGTAAGGATGAAGCTGAAGAAAGCCCGGAGAGTGCCGTTCTGTTCAACACTCCCTCAAACCCCATCTTTTACTCTTCTTTAAACTTCTTTCCCATCTTTAAACTCCTCTCTCAAGTAGAAATTCTTCCAGATATTTAGAAATGTCTGTGTAAAGTGCTCATCCACCGCCGTGTGGGTAAAAGATCATAATTGTACAGTTTTCATAAATGTCTGTGGTGAAGCAACGGAAAAATCATGGCCGTATGATTTTTCCCGATTGATTGCTTATGTTGTTATTTTCATAATTTGCCAAATTAATGTAAATGTTTGATGTTAAACTTTGATTCTGTAAATAAATGACCGCATTCATTTTGATGGGTCAAACATAAATGACGTCTCACGTTTGCATTTCATTAAATTCAATGCACGTTTTATTCAGTTCAGAAAAATGAGGAATCCG